AAAAGCATCTCCAGCAGGTCGAGGGAAGTGATCATCCCCCTCTACTCAGCCCTGGTGAGGCCACATCTGGAGACTGTGTCCAGTTCTGGGTTCCCCAGGACAAGAGGGATGTGGAGCTGCTGGAGAGAGTCCAGCGCAGGGCTACCAGGATGATCAGAGGCCTGGAACATCTGCCCTGTGAGCAAAGGCTGAGGGAGCTGGGTCTGTTCAGCCTGGAGAAGAGAAGGCTGAGGGGGGACCTGATCAGTGTCTATAAATACCTAAAGGGAGGCAGTGAGGAGGAGGGGGGCGGCCTCTTTTCAGTGGTGGACAGCGATAGGACTAGAGGAAACGGCCGCAAGCTGAGGCACCAAAAGTTCCACAGGAACTTAAGGAAACACTTCTTGACTGTGAGGATGCAGAGCACTGGAACAGGCTGCCCAGGGAGGTTGTGGAGTCTCCTTCTTTGGAGATCTTTAAAACCYGCTTGGACACAGCCCTGTGCCATGTGCCCTAGGTGACCCTGTGTGAGCAGGGGGGTTGGACTAGATGACCTCTGAGGTCCCTTCCAACCTTAAGCATTCTATGATTCTATGTCCATGGCCTTATAGCCAGGCTTTCGTGTATTCTGCCCCTTTGCAAGGTGGGAGGGATAGGAGATTTTCAAGTGGGTTTTCTGCCCCCATCAAGACAGCACCGTGACTAGGAGGGCACTTTGATTTCCCAGAAGAATATAGTCTCTTGTTGCATTATGTCTCATCTCTTCCAGCTGCTGCCGACTTCTGAGGAATTACCAGGCTGCCAAACCTGACTTGTTGGCACAGATCAAAACAATAAAAGAAAATCACACTCTTTGAACTGAAAAGTCCTTCCTGACCAGTGACAAGGGCAGGCTGTAGACAGTGACCTCTCTTGCTGTCTTAGAGGGTACTTAGTGTTTGCAGTGTGCAGCCTCACGAGCCTAGAAACTGCACACATCAAAACACAAGCTGAAGCCGCCCACGATGCTCCAGTACAAGAGCAAGAGTATGTTAAGAATCAGTTTGAAGTCCAGGGTCTGAAAGATGATTTATTTATGAAGGGGAGCTGAATGAGAAATGCAAGACCTTCAGAAGGAAGCTCTCTGARGAGAACACACTGACATCCTGACCCTGGAAGCTGAGAGGAGCTTTACATCTGTAAAGCCCTAGAATTAATGGGCTAGACCCTGATCTCCCCACCTGAGGAAGCCTCTGTGGCCCAGTGGTGAAATGGCAATTTATTGTGGGCAAGGAGGATACGGAGAAGACAAAGCCACACTCTTCCTGGGGCTTTTGCCCAGCGAAAGACAAGAGACAACAGTCACAAGTTGCAATGTGGAAATTCTGATTAGATAAAAGGAAAAAAAATAACTATGAGGGCTGGTAAGTGCTGAGAAGGTGGCTCACACCTTACTTAAACTTGGCTGCGCTGACACTGCAGTGCTGTGATCCTGAGGAAAACTGCAACATTTGGAAACATTTTCCGTTATAATTCTTTGAAATTCTTAGATCAGAATTACATTCTTAGATCAAAACAGCTGGTCATAATTTTCTGCATCTTAAACACTTATTTTGAAATGCAACTAGGATTAAAAAAAAATGCATCCTCTTTAACATGCATAACCTCACTATTGACAACCGTTAACTGCCGCATTATAATGTATTTATGATAAAGAGACATGGCAGCTTCAGCTTAACTCCAGGTCCTCCTTAGCTGGGACCTGCAAAACACGCAGGAAACACTGCTTAAAACCTGACAGCTAATACAGCCATGAGCCTATAAAGCAAATAAATCACATAGCTGGTGGGCTCTCCGTGGTGCCGTGGCAGGACTGCTCCATGCAGCAGGTTAGGGGCCCGTGCATCCCACCCTGTCCCGTTGCTGAGCGGGGCTCCCGCCTGGAGCACCTTGGTTGCTCTCTGCGAGGTGGGCAGCGAGCACTAGAGCAGGCAGCTGTGCCCCGTTTCTGAGCTGGCAGCTCCACCGTGTGGGCACTGCTGAGAACGGTTGTCACGAAGGCTTGGACGTCGGGGGGTGTTTCTCCTGCTTTCTTGCCATGAAACAAATCTAAATAAAACCWTTTATTTTTTTGCCCCCCAAACCTAGGAGAACACTTGCATAACACAAACCATTTGGTTTTGCCCAGAGGAGCTGCTCAGAGCCTTGTGTATAACAGGGCACCAGGCTGGTTACAGAAATGCCAGGATTTCTTCTTTTTTTCTGGGTTAGTGGGTCCCCTTGTACTGCTAGAACTGCAAGGGAAAAGAACAGGACTGAATTGCTCACTTCCCATCAGCTCCTCCTGCTATTAGAAAGAAACATAAGAAGCAGAACTGGTATGAGATTAAAGAAAAAAAAAATAATAAAAGACATGGCCAAAATCTTTATGTAGTCCTCGTTGTTCTGTTCTAGTACTGCCATGTGTGCATACGCAGCCCAATATGTTATATAAGTAGGAGCCTATGTATACATGCACTGCCTGAGCCTGCCCTGTGTGCACAGCAGTTCCAGCATGTTGGAGATCAACTGGATTCTGTCTACGTGAGATGGAGAATGAATCTACGTGTGCTCTAAAGTCACGTCTGTCACAATGTTAGAAAGCCGTTTCTCCCTAGGGAAAAGGTGATGAATTATTGTGGAAATGGCAGTCTCCAATCCAGAGTAATAAGGCTCGCTCACCTGAGAAGGAAGGAAGGAAGGAAGGAAGGAAGGAAGGAAGGAAGGAAGGAAGGAAGGAAGGAAGGAAGGAA